TACGACTAAAATTTTATCGCTTAAAATTTAATCGTTACAACGCCTAACACAGATACAGATTTCTAACACAGTTCAATTATATTAGAAGGAGTCATTCACTTGAATAAATTATTGGTTGAAAAAATCTGAAGACACCTGTGAGAATAAAAATTGTTAAATAATATTAAAAACATTAATTTAATCAACTCACCGAAATCCACTGCCGCAGCAACAGAACTTTTACACCTGAAATGTTCTGGAAAAGAAATGTACGCAAATATGATTTCATGGAAGAATGTTACACATACTTTGGACTATCGTTTTGAATGTTATCTTTTGTGGAACAAAACCTTTTGTTTATTTATTTAAACAAATTTTATGCACTAAATAAAATAAACTTTTCGACCGGTACAACACGTCTTATTAAATAAATCAAAACAAAACAATAGAACGAGAAAAGCTTTCGTACAACTGATGTGGAACTAGAGTAAAGTTTAGGCAAAAATAACGTCCGGCTTCCACATGAGTAAGAAACAAAATTTGTCATAAAGTTGGAGTTTCGCTTGGGGCACTGCAGAGGGATCAGATAATGAGCTTCGATCAACGATCGTTGAACTTTAACGCATTAACAGATGGCACCGTTGATCGTTGACGATATAAAAAGTGCGTACACCAGGAAGAAGTTGGCTTGTTTTCTTCGACGCAGTGCAGTGAAATAGTTTTGGAAAATATCGGACTCCGGGTGGTTTTTTTTTCTTTCGACGCAAGACTCTACGCATTAGACTAGAAGGTACTTGATGTAAATTAAGTGAAATTTAAGTTAAATAAAAGCGAAGACTAAGTAATTTTAATATTAATCAACGTATGTAACTTGCTTTAAAAGAAAACCCTGAAATATTATTTTTTGTTTAATAAAAATAAAACGTGTATAAAATTTGAAAAGGAATTGACTATTATTTATATAAAACTCAAAATTCAAACATTAATCCCTGTATGAAAATTTGTAAAAACTTTAAAAATTTTATTTAAAACAATAGAAATAAAACATGAAAAATTTAAAAATTTGGTAATTATTATGTATAAATAAAACTGAAAATTTTAACATTAACCCTCGTATGAAAATTTAAAAGAAATTTTAAATATTCATTGTTCTAAATACAAATGAAATGTGCATAAGAGTTTGATAACTTATTAATGTGACTATTTGTGTTATTAAGTTTAATAAGTGTTCTTATGAAAGTTTTAATTTTAATATTAATCTTTGCATACGAGTTTTTCTTAGAAACAAAACGCGAAATTTTGAATTTAAATTATTATTGTATACTAGCGGACCCGGCAGATTTCGTTCTGTCAAACAGATTTGGAATGTGGCAGTTTTTGTTTCTACCTATTCTATAATCGGGGTAAAAAAATCTTCTGAACAGAACAGTCACCCTGGTGTGTGGGGTGACCAAAGTATCTTCTCTTCCAAAAACTTTGGCGACCCCTTCTGGGATCCACTAAAAAACCCTGATTGGGATGTCCGCCAGAGGGTATCAAACTAAGACGCGAACTTAGGGCTCAAACCTGATTGGAAAATAATCTAAAGGGGCAGTGGAAACCCAAAGATGACAAATATATAAAAAGTAGGTGGTTCGCTTGGATAGTGGAGATAATGATCTGCAAAGGAAGTCATGGGGATTTAATAAACCTACCTCCAATAATCAACAACTTATTACAACACACAAACTTATCTATTCTGGTTATGTTCTTGTCTTCTTATATGTAAAAATGAATTGAAAAATGTGTTGGTAAGCGCAATAATTCGATTTTTTCGATCGCACTCTGCCATTTGCGCAAATCAATCCATTGTCTTCGCGCTCGCGCTTCACGCGTTTGTGATATCCGAATTCTTTCAAGTTCATTTCGATCGTTGGTTTGGTTTATAGCATAAATTACTTCGTCTTACAGGATATCGAATATAAATTGTGTCACACGCAGTAATTAGTGATCATAGGTAATTAAACACTTTGTACAAAACACTATGTAAAAAGATTTATATAGATTTATAAAATTATTTACAGCTCATATATTAATGACAGTGAGTGTTTGTAATGTAATATGAACTTTATTGTATAGCAATAATTCGATTTTTTTTCGCCGTAAAAACTATCCTTGGACTTCAATGAACATTTAAAAAAAAGAATTGACCAAATTTAAAAAATTTTTTTAGATATATAAAACTAAAAAATTTTAACATTAAACCCTGTATGAAAATTAAAAAGAAACTTTAATATTTTTTTTGTTAAACAAAAATACAGATGAAAACTAAATATAATTTAATAATTTATAAATTTGAATGTTTGGTTTATTAAGTCAAAAACAAAAAAAAAAAACACGGAAGTTTAAAAAATTACAAAAAAATCTAAAATTAAACAGAATTGTAATTTCTAGCGGACGTGAACCATTTCGAGGAACTCTGTGTATAGATAACGGCAGCTTTGAGTGATTTAGGTAAGAACAAATTGAATTAGGAATCGGTGATGATAAGTGTTGAGTGACTGAACTGTGGGGAGATATAGGTAGGCAAGATTCAGGGCTTTAACAGTGACTGAATCTAGGATGCACGGAGTATAACAAACGTAGCTTTAACAGTCACGTGTGTCTATACTATAGTGTCCGTAGTAAAAAAGCAGTAAATTAGACGATAGAAAAAATGGGACAACTCAGAAGAGTATGCCATCAAAAGAGACGGCGATTGACGGAGAAAATAAACGAAGAAACATATCCATTACAGAAATCGAAGACTACAGCGCGGCAAAAATGGATTTGAAGAAAACTATATTGATATCAAAAAAAAGGAAATGGGAAGAGCTGAGGAACGATATAAATGAAAACTCCTGGAGAGTGGGTTACAAAATTGCCATGAAAATGCTTGGAATAAGGTTTCAAATTCCAGTTTTAGACTGCAGCACTTTACAGAAGACACTTTATTCCCCACTCATGAAATAAGAGAACTTAATGAAGACATAGCACATATTTCACCTATTTCCTTTCCTCTATTTACAAAAGGTCATGGCCTAAAACTTGCAACGGAAAAATCAGAGATACTTCTGCTCACGAGACGGCATATGCCGCTAGAAGTCGAGATGAACATATGTGAAAATAAATTTTACATGAAGAAAGCAATTAAATACTTAGGACTGAACTTGGACTTTAAGTTATCGTTCTGGCCACAAATCCAACAAGAAAATTACTAATTTCAACAACCAACTCTATCCTACTCTACGGAAGTGAAATATGGGTCGATTCGCTGAAAAAAGAACAGAAACGTAAGCATCAGTAGAACGAACACCAGTTCTGAGAGTTGCGTCAGTATACCCTACAAAGTGGCAACAAAGATGGAATGCAGAAACAAAAGGAAGATGGACAACAAGATTGATTCCAGATGTGGCGAAATGGTCAGACAGGAAAACTTGGCAACGTGAACTATTACTTCACTCAATTCCTTTCTGCTCATGGATATTTGCAAGAATACCTTTTCTGCATTGGCAAAACAAATGATTCGAAATGCATATTTGGAGATGCAGGCGAAGACAACGTTGAGCACACCATCTTCAAATGCAAAAGATGGAACACCGCAAGAATATCACTCGAAACAAAATTCGGTGAAATAAACGTCGAAAATATTTACAACAAAAATTATGCTATATGAATAAAACTGGACCGCCATAGACCGATTTGTTACGATCATATTCAAAAAACTAAAATTTTTTAATGGAAAACCAAGTTCCAGAATAAAAACGGTCTGGTACATGAGGAGGATTGTTTTTAGTCCATGCAAACCGGGCATAGCGACAGTTGAGTTTAGCCCCAGCTATACACAAACCCAAGAAATTCGTTAACAAAAACCTGGGCTTGATACGACAGTTTAGAAGGCAGCTGTATTCTAAATCTGAATAGACATAGTTGCAATTTTTCACAAACTCTCATAT